TATATATATATATATATATATATATAAATTCTACATGCGATGTGTCATGCGTGCTCAAAGCATTGACCGCGTTTAGTCTCGGATCAATCGGTTAATTCGCGCTGCTGGGCCCTTGTTTGGAAAAGATTCTCTTCCTCCTGAGTAATACACATTTCGACAACTGCATGCAATGCAATATCGATTTTTTCACGAAGTTAGAAGCTTACAGCTTACTCATTACGTTAAATTCCATGCTTGAGTGGAGAATACGCTGGAAAACGAAACCATTCTTATGAACCACTAAAAGTAGGCTTCACCAAAGAAGGGTTACTAGCGAAAGACAGTGATTAGAATGCGGATTTACTGACAAAAGTTTCTTGGTTTGAACCCGACCCCTGACTCTCGACTTCCCCTGTCTGGGACTGGGCAACCTGGCAGTATCCCAGCGCCCGTGCTCCCTTCGGGTGGCAAGGCAGCTAGGCGCCGAAAGGGTGTTACAGCTGAAGGACAACGATAAAATGGAAAGTGGAGTGTTCATCCACTCTCAGTGTGCCGCAGTTTTTCCGACTCATGAAAAATATCCATGATCAGTAAAATGGAAAATATGCCTACCACTACTACTGCGTTGTTAGCACACTACACATGCACTCGCGGAGACAAAACTGGGATGGTGCTCTGGGGATTCTGAAAGTGGTGATGTTAGTTCTTTGTCTGTTTCTGTAACCTCTCCAAAATGTTTGTGGAAAGGTACAACGCAGAACATCTTCCATTGACTTCGTTTCTTTGCTCTTTTACTCAAATGACCGCCCTTGCTGCCGTACGATTCACAGGAGACAGCAAATGCGAAAGTTTCCAATTTTCTTATTCAAAACCCACTTTTCTGAGGGAACCGAGTGTGTTAAATAGGATAAAATGATGTGCTAACTAGAGCTGTAGTATCTACCTTACATGGTCTTCAGCTGCCGGTGACGATGATGCGCGAGCCGGTTTCATAGATTATTGGCGGTAGTTATCGGGTTTATCGCCATACTCCAAACTTCTATGATGATAACAGCACAAATATAGTCCGATGGCATGACTTGTACACGCCTCAGGACAAGTGAACAATAAGAGTAAATCTCCGTACATCGTCAAGCCCGTAAGCGCACCGTTAAGCGATAAGAAAAGGAGGGTTGATGTACAAACCATCGTCGAGTTATAGACGCCGCACATCAAGCCCGAACTTGTTGGGCTACACGGCTTCACTTCTTATTAGACCGGGCCAGATTAGTTGACATTTGAACTCTGACTGTTACTCATTCGTCGGGCTTTTCCACTGGTTTAACATTTTAAAATGGTATCGGTGAGTCCATCCCGTTATCAATAACAGTGACTTTGCATTCACATCACCCCTTTGAACAGTCCTCCTCTCCTCACGCAACCATTTTGGTGAGGCTATACGAAAAACAGGGAGTAACCTGCCTAATTGCGCCGGAACATTAGATGAAAATACCCCTGTGATTATTGCAACTGTCAAGGATTTATTAGCCTTTCTACACATCTTTTAACGGGTCATCTTGACCTCGTAACGAGTCAAGCGGAACCAAGGACGAGGCTGCTGTCACGCGAATGCTGATTTCCGAAATGTGTTGCTCGTGTACAGTCTCAGTACCGAGTCCCACACGGCTGAGCTGTGATTTTCGTTACAACCACCCATTCAAGCACAGATCTACAGTCGACGCCTCAGGAGAAGAAGTGGTGGACATCGGAAACGAAAAAAGCTGGCTAATCGATGTTACCCACTGTGTCACTGTGGCCGTCACGGGAATCCCTACGCAACCGTCCAATTTGAGGAGAGGCCGGTCGAAAGTCCACAATGGATGTTCTACAGGATTTTTTTTAATCTTTAGATGGACCAGCGCGACAGTGGGTCCAATGCTTCCTTCCACAAAGACATTTTTGAATCCTCACGGACTACCGATCTGGTCACCCAAGGGAACACAAGGGGGAAACCATGTGCCAAAAGTCGCAGACTATTCTGAACGCCGCGATTTGTGAGGCGCACGTGGTTCTATACCTGTTTACTACATCCCAATGATGAAAGGCATTATCACCTTTTGGTACATTTTGAACTTCACCTCGCTCTGTAGTTACCCCACTCGTGCTCGACTTCCTGCCCTCCATACTGTTTATGTTGATTGATATTTTGAACGCTGATGGGAACGGTATACCAGTGACCTTACAAGGTCGATTTTTGGTGTCACGCATCTTAATTTTGCATCGTCGAGGTCATGCCAAGGTCTACCTGATATCATTGTCCTGAATAATAAAGTTCGTGTTATAAATTGCGGTATTGAAAGCATTGTATGATGTAAGCTAACGCCAGGATGGTGACTGTTCATTGATCAATTTTCAGAATAAGGAGTTTTTTTATTTTAATTATGAAGTGAAAACACAGCGTAGTGAAATAGGTTGTTGTGATCCGACGTTTTGGTTGCTGTCAGCGGCCTTTCTCAAGGATTTTCAGAATATCTATGCGGCACTTTGTAGGTTGCTGTCAGTAGTCGATTCATATTTTTCTACAATTTACGACAACTCATTGTATTCACGAACAGCGTCTGTCTCCCCTCCCCATCGTGATGGCCTCTCTGGGAGGATTACCGTATGATGCTCTTTTCAGTTTTAGCTTCACACATAATTTCTAAGTAGGAAGGAGATCCCCATAACTCGATAAGTGAATTCAGCGAGGGTTGAGAGATAGATAATCATTTCACATCACTTTCCAATCTATATACAACTCGGCAGGTCGCCGCGCAAGTAACCTATTAAGCGAGCTGCTTTCCGCTGTCTACTACAAAGTCAGTTGTCTAGGATTTAAGGGGGACTTGCAGGTCTGATACGTATGGCACCCTCTCGGAAGAATGTAACAGAACCTTTTAACAGTGTCTGTTTAATCAAGGTATCTGTTGCTACAGAGAACAGTTGTTTCAAGTGATAACTCACACTGCCTTCAGTTAGTGGCGGATCAAACAATTCCCATATACAGACCAACGCCCATGAGTAAGGGTTTCTGAAATGGGCAATCAACATTTACCGAAACTGAGAGTGTTTGCCTTCGAGGCATATCAGGCCAGATAAAATAATAATAAATCGTTCAGCTGGCAGTGCCTAGCTGCCATGCCACCCGAAGGATTTACGAGGTCTGGGATACTGTCAGGTTGCCCAAGTCTAGACAGAAATTAGGGAAGAGGTCGGGTTCGAACAACGGACCTTCCGGTCAGTAAATTGGCACTCTAACCACTGAGACATTTTGCATATCGGACTCACCAACCTCTTCAGTTATTTGTATGACCCATCCAACGAATCATAGACGAAATGGACTCACAAATATCGGGCGAGCTTCCCCGAGAACATTGCTCCAATTGACGGCGACATCAGTGTGTGGTACTCTTGCCTCACGATCTTTTGGTTAGGACGCGAGCGTGCACACCGTGGTAGCCGAACATTGACATCTAAGGACGATCACCACGGCAACCCAATCAGGTTTTTACTTCGGATCATCACAGCTGACTATGCATCGCACCGCTCACTAGTTACGGAAGTTTTGAACTCCCTTAGTTTAAGTCGTTACAGGCGGTATTTGCCTTATTAAGGGACCCACCACAAACAGACACTCTGCTGGAGACATCAACTATGACTTAACACATGATCCATATGAAGGAAGATCTTCTGCTGTGATAATCTGTTGTGGGAGTACTGACCTAACCGACCCACCAATGCGACTTGGCAGTAATTTTGGTATCAGAGTATAGTTTTAGGGGGAGACATCTGTTATCCTGTTTCCGTTCACTGGAGCGCTGAATACATACCTATTAATCTGACTCCAAAGCAGACGTTCCGCTTTCACTGTCGAAAATGACTACCATATTCAGGAAAACATAGGTTGTAATGAGTGTTGACCGATCCCTTCCATCCCTCTCACCGACCTCATCTGTTTAGTTTTCTCTGTTTGACCAACTATCATAGCTGCGGGTCAAGTATACCTTTCTCCTAGCTGTTTGAGCTGTACCGCTTGATCTGTCCTGCAAACTGTTTGACCTGAGTTTATTTCTGCGTCTTCATCCTCTAGCGGCGGGCTTTATCAGCCTGTCTGTATACTCCTCAGCCGCACTCGTTTTCTGGTACGGCATCAGCTTGTTGCGTGAAGGAGAATATGATGCTGGATCCGTTGTTCTGGTAAGTGTGCACTGATAAGCTTTCTATGGACTATAGGCTATTTACAACTACATCCTATATGAAGCCGCATCAAATCGGTCCGTGAGTAGCGTCCCTGACAGATGCCGTCCAAAGCGGTAATGGCTTTGCCCGAAGTGGAGTATTGGAAACCAACATCATAATAAATAAGTAGGCTAGACTTGTTTGCATACCAATTTGGTTTTGACGGGACATTTACCTAGAACCCAGCGGAATCCCTCATTTATTATGTTTTTAAGCAACTGAATGTGCTGCACCAGTCCGCCTCGTGTTTCAGTTGCTACGATATTCGAGAGATGTCGCGATACATGTATGGTTGAAATACACTACTCATAAGGTTGCTGAAGATTCTTCGACAGCCCACGACCGGTTCCGCCTTTCTTGGGGCTCATCAGATAAGCGCACCCCCGAGTTTCCGTCAACCTTATATTCTGCTTGAATGGAGATTCCACGAAATTCACGAAATACACTTATTTGCATACCAATTCGATTTTGTTTACCTGATGAACCCCAAGGGGGGCGAAACCGGTCGGGGGTTGTCGAAAAGTTTTCAACAACCCGATTAGTAGCGTATTATGTCTAAATAACTAGACTATTATTTCAGTGGGTTTGGCGACTGTCCCTTCATTCCGTTTTCCTTAGAAGTTAAAGCTACTCACTCAAGTTTTGTCGTACCTGACTACCATTCAAATGCCCCAGTGGGAATCTAATGCGATTTCTAAGCAAATTTATGACTTCCCAAGTGTATTCCTACAACCCAGATGTCTCGCCCTATCTTGGATGCTTCTTATGATGTATAAAGTGTGTACTATTTCCTGTGAATGTAAATGAGAAGGAGTGTGATCACGGTCGGTAATTTTGGGTATGTAAAACTTCAGAGATAAATCGCTCCCTTGGAAATACGTGCTTTCTGGCCAGGAAAAGCTGGGAATCGTTTGAAACCATTTTTATCCATGATTCGCTAATATTCCTTATTTCTCTTAATCTGTATGCCCTCTGTATTGCATTTTACAAATGATTTCGGTTCTCTTGGTGCGATTCTCATGTATTCTCAGCTTACAGACTTCTAGACCGGATATTAACCGGTTGGTGCATTTTTCTTCTGGAATTGAACTTTAGTTGCATTGACCGACCGAATTCATCTTAAAGATCCTTTTAGTGACCTGATTTATTTACTTTTGGGCACTGACTCCTTCATGGGATGAGTCAACTTCACCTTGTAGCCAACGCTGTTCACATACCAACTTTTCTGAAACTTTATTGAAGTTGTCGTAACGGTCGAACCAGCAAACTCTGGATGGAAAGGTTTATCGAACTTGGAATGGTTAATCCCAGTACATGTATTTATCAACAAACAAGCGGTAGGCTGGTTTACCAGAATGATTCTCACATGAGCCCTCAGTAGCTTAGTTCGATGAATTGGCTGCTACCATTCTAAACAGTGAAATGCACGGCCTATTACTACTGATGAATATCCAGACATCCAGAGGACATCCGTTATTGCAAATCAACTTCTCCAAGCTGTGACGCGAATGGTAGTCATTAATCACATGTCGTTTCGCAATTCTGGAGGTTTCACTGTATAGTGGAAACAAGTGGTTTAGAAATCACGACCTAATTACCTTATTTCAATGGCTTGCATGCAGCGGGACACCGTCGGAGTCGATAGGCAGAGAACTCAAGCCGATGTGTTGTATACACTGCTTACACAGATCGCCCGTATCGTTACTTGTTCGCTCCAAAACTAGAATATGTGCATTCTACAAAGTGGCATGCATGTCTGTATTGATTTCTCGCACATCTTACCGGGTACCGTTGTTTTGTCTGACGTTGTATCTCCGGTGTGCTGGATGCTGATCCGAATACCCCAACACTGTAAAGTTATACTTTCAAATGCACAGCTTTCACATCTGCCACAGCTTTGACGTACTCCACCACTATCGCTCACACATTTGATTGTTAGTGAGGCTACCTTTTTCCCAACACAACACTAATTATAAAGTTCATGTTCGTTTATATTGGGCATATCAACACTGCACATTATGAAGATCGCCTCTAAAAGAGATTTCCCGTAAACACCGTTGTACAGGCCAGCCTGGTTAGCGTCTGGCACCAAGCAATAACCAGCCCTACACGTGTACCACGTGTACGCGCCATAAGTGATGCGGCCTACGGGATCACCGAATACGTACATTCTGGGTTTCAAGTGTTCAGGTGCCCCACATGGTTTGGCTCTTGTAAGCAATCAGCGACCGGTCTAACTTCGCTCGGTCTACACTGGAAGCAGGGCATTCAGCTGGTCGCACTCGCGCCTCAGCACGCCGCATGTGGGGCATAATCTATTTTCCACAGGGATCCATCAGTGTAGTTCGATCTGCCAAGCGAATCCAGATCCACCATACAGTGACCCAAGAGGTCAATAAAACGTTTGAGACTTTTTACGATGGTCTTAGGGTCGTTACTACTGCGGGTGGTGATGATGATGCTATCACCAAGTACGATTATGGTCCCGCTAAGAGGGACCATTCAATCAAGACCACTTCGCTGCGGCCTCTTATGATTTGGCTTGAAATTGATACGCGACCATCCACACGTTCCAACAACAGAGATAACCTTATGTGCCATCCCGGTGCATTCTCGGCTCCCAGCAGGCGCTAAGGAGCGAAGAAAGACCACCCAGTTGGGAATTTCACCACTTTTCCCTAATATAATACCCCGCGTATCACATGCATTGGCTGATTCTCTGTCCAGAAATGGAACAGATTAAAAGTTCGCATACATACACTGCTGATGACCTGTTTCTACTTCATGGTGATACTGGCATCCAGCTCCGAAATAAAGCTTTGAAATTTTAAGCCTTCCCGAATACCAGTTCAAATACCAAAAACTATCTGATGTGACAGGTAATGTGTTTTCAATTCAGCATGAATTTGGTCAGCTGTTGTTTCCTTCGTAACGGGCTACTGTGAAGCTACCCAGGTCTTATCAAGGCTAAACAAGCCAAAAGTAATCACAGGGTCGTGATTACCGTGTATACCAAAATGGATGTGTCTGGACCGACTCACAAATCAGTTAATCGTAAACAGACTTGGACCATCAAGGTTTGTTTATACATTCAAGAATTGTGATCCATAGGTTCATGGGTCCATTGCCGCACTATACAGAGATGTTCGTGTGTGGAATCAAAAACAGTGCTGTGGATGTACAATGCATCATTACAAGCGATGAGTAACTTGTTTTTGGTCTCCTTGTGGACAGTTCTATGGAACGATTCGTCAGACTTTTTGTTTTTGGTCTCCTTGGGGACAGTCCTATGGGATGATTCGTCAGATTTTGCGATTTATTCAACTCTACAAATCATTTCTTTTAAGACTAAGTTGTTTGTCGCCTTCGGGAATCCTCATACGGTCAATATAAGGATCGTAAAGCCAATGGTCAGTGTCTCAAAGTTATGGAACCTGACATTGATGCGTCTACGTTTGCGAGCTTCATGGGACTATTCGAACAGCTCGGAACAATTGCCTTCAAAGGATTCTCAGCGCTGATGTCAGCCTTACCAAAGAGAGGTGGCTGAATTCAACGGACAGATGTTACAGATCCCCAAAAATATGCGAGTGTTGGTATTAGAATTACTTTTGATTTACTGTTCTGAAGGTGCGATTTCGATGTACACAAAAGTAGCTTTTACAAAAGTTCGCCATGGCAAGTGTCTGTTGACGACCCGTGTGCTTCTTATGCAAAAAAGAACGTTCAGCTGTAGCATTCTTTCGTTGCCTAAATGCCGTACCACCGGAAGGAAGCACGAGGGCCGGGATACTGTCAAGTTGCCCACGCCTAGACAGGGGAAGTCGGGAGCCAGAGGTCGGGTTCGAACCACGGACCTTCTGGTCAGTAAATTCGAGCTCTAACCACTGAGCTTACTCGCCCCGCTTCTGATACAGGCGTATTCGAAAGAGCTGTGAAGGAATGTCGGAACCTTAATGCACCAGCTCCAATATCTCATCGACATTAGAGATGCGTATGACACTTGCTTGTATAGGCGATAGAAAGTGCTGCCCCCAAGGGAAACTGAACTCCCTAACTAAAACAATTGGATCGTTCTCCATGACTGGCCTTTGCTAGACGGAACTAGTTTATTTTCCACAATGATCCAGTAATTTCCTTGCTGACTGGTTTTTCTGCATTCATATCACACACAACCTTAGATATCTCAATGAGAAGTATACATAAATGCGGTATGTGTTACGTTTTTGCTCGGTGGATCAAATTCAGTTTGGCCAAGTATTTTACATTACATGCCTTGGTTTCATCGGACTATTGTTCGTTGGATATTTTATGCAGTTGCAAATGGTGATTTCTTTTGTTAATTTTTCAGTGCGTGCTTCAGTTCATGAGTATCCTTGTTGCGGTGTATGTTTGAAATCCTGCTTGTGCCAAATCTGCACTTATTGACCAAACTGATATCTCCTCTTCTTCGCAATTGTCTGACATCTATGTAGTGCACAAACTCAGATTAATATGACTTTACTGTGTGCGCGTCGGGCTCGACTTAAATAAACTATCCGGTTTGTCTCAACTACCACACTTCATCATTAGACAAAGTTGACTTTTCATCTGTAACATGGACATAGCATCGACTTTCCCATAATTGTGCGGTCAGTCAAATGTTATAGCCCGGTAGCCTCCGATGATCTGTAGCAGAGCATACAGCTGACCTTCTTCCAGGTTGGCCTCCGCCCTATGGACCATTTTATGACGTCTATTTTTTGCGGATCAGATTCGAATTCCTCACGTCACCGATGGTATTCAACACTGACGCTACAGCACAGTGCAGTCAATCCCGGTTCGTTGTTCAGCTGTAGCACCCTTTTGGTGCCTAGCTGCCATGCCAGGAGGGCCGGGATACTGCCAGGTCGCCCAAGCCTAGACAGGGCAAGTCGAGAGGCAGAGGTCCGGGAGTTTCTTAAATCATTGACAAACTGGGGGAGGAAAGGAAACGAATAATGGCCTAGCACTAACACTTTGGGGTTATTCCTTCCAATCACTCTCCCTCTGATAGTTTGTACTTTAAGGCTGCTTGCTAGTGCATCGCCAGCGTGCTTAGTAAACAAACGGGTATCGATAGGCGACTTTGGTAACATGCCACTCATAGAATCGTAAGCTGTTGGCGTGGGCAAGCTTCAACGTAAACCTCTCTTTTAACCTGATCCGTTTTTTAAATCAACACATTCAGAAACAGCATTCTGTACGTATTCAGGTATTTTGACCGTTAGAATTCAGACACTGCAATGTACTGCAGTAGTTACGAAACCTTTATGGATGTCCTGCATTGCACGCCGGACCAGTTTGAAATAAAAATAGCAAGGCTGTAGAGGAATACCGTAGACTTGATTGGACTTAATTGTTTCCCAGCTTGTTGAACTTTTCACTGAGCGTTCGTATCGACACACAGTGTTTGTCTCGTTTGTGCGGAGCTGTGTTTACAATACAAAGACAATTTTTCGTAACGGATCAGCTAAAAGACTCCATCAACGACCGTTCAGAAGCTTTGAGCTCTTATGTCAGTCCTGTACATCGTTTGACGCACATTAACCTCGCTCTGAAGTTGTCCCCACCGACGGTGTCGATCACTCGGGTTACCAACTTTATTTACTGACCGTGGTTATCTTTGCGTTTCTATTGATAAGGCTTGCACGTATAGTCATTACACATTGAGATACAGTAAACTGCCGGGACTAGCAACTCGACCATCGTTCCCCCTTCGTCTCGATTTCCAACAAAGTGAATACAAGTGTTGTTGTTTGGAAATTTTACATAATATGTTGTTTTTCCTATCGGAAATATGTCGCTCTGTAGCTTTGGTGTATGGGGATAGCAACAACGACTGAGCACTGATAAAGTGATACGTGTGCATACACCAACACGCAATTTGCAGTGCGGTCCAACGTGTCACCCAGCATATCAATGTCACAGCTGTCAATGAATGGCGTGCCTCATCAGGAATTCATCATACAGTGCTTGTCAGTGACACGTTTCATTTTTTTTAAATCTTCGATTTGCATATCGGTGACAACCAGAATGGCTGTAACCTGTTAGTGTGGGCGCATTCATTTCGCGTGTGTTCTGAAGGTGTGTATTTGGTTCTTTACAGCTTGTGTGCAGTTGTCACAAGAAAATATCATGTTGAGTGTTTGGCGTTTATTTCAAGACCCAAACGCGTTGTGTTCGCGTTTACATTTGCAAGTCGTCACAGTTGCCCACCCAGACAACTCGTCATCCCAACGCACACTTTTCCTTATTTTCCCCACAATGAACTTGGAGTAGAGCAAACTGTGACTTTTTTCTTCAAGTTTACATAATACTTGTCGTTTGACGTTGACGTCAGCTGTTCCTTTTGGAAATTGCTATATTTCCTATCGTGTGTGAAGCAAAGTACATTGTTAAGTGTTTGTTTTTTTTAATTCGCGCCACTCCAGTCTCTCTAGTTCGTTTCTGGGCTGCATCTTAATTGGTGTGTTACATTATCTGTATAAGCTGGTATGTAGGTGTGCAAGAATATCCCCTTTTCCCATTTAATTCCTCAGTCAGTGGCTGCAACTTCGAACTGGCTGTCGGCAGGTTGGGTTTTAAAGCTTACGCTGTCAGCGCAGCATTGATATATGACTAACAACTCTAGAACTCTCATGCTCCTGTCGACGAATGTGAAGCTCATCTTCATCCAGCGTCAAGTTTAGATGTGGACCTGTGCTCAACGCTCGTTTAGTAAGGTCTGTTTGCAGGTTTGAGGAACACCATCAGGGCTTTATGTCAGACAAGATAGGGCGGATACGGAGCGAGAGAGAGGTGTTCGGTTCACATATTTGAATTTGGGTCAGAAACGGAAGGGATGAACGAATGCTAGACCTTATGACCTATTCGAACTTGATGGTGAAAATGAGTTTAGGATGTAGAATAGAATTGGTTTGTGTTGATATTGGTGTTTCTACCCACTTGAAAGCAAACTAAATGCCTCATAATTTGAAAGCAGAGCTTCGGTTTGAGGCATGTAATAAGTGGGGCCTCCTGGCTAAACTCGGAAGTAAGTTCCTGTTTCGATGAAATACGATCCAGAATGAGTCTTATTTTACAGATGACTCAATTGTCATGTGTGGTGATGCCCAGCAAACAGAAGAAAGATTTCAGTGCAATGGTACGTGAGTCCTATTCCGAGTCGTATTTCGTCATAAGAACTCATTTCCGCGTTGAGTGGGAGCCGTATTAGCCAGCTAAAACCGAAGTTCTACTCTTAGAAGACCCTCATAAGCAAGAGGTCTAGTTCGATTCAGTTGAGTCTCCCATCAGAACCAAAACTGATTTACAACCGAGGGTATCTGGCGAATTCCATCCAATTTGGGTTCAAGTAGAACATAAGGTTGACGGCAACTCAAGAGGTGCGCCTACGTGATTAGCCCCGAGAAGGGTGAAACTGGTCTTGGGCTGTCGAAGGATTTCCAGCAACTTTAGTAGTAGTGTGTTGCGTCTAGGTACATTTTTTATAGGTTGGTTCCATCTCCATAAGGGCAAACATATACCAACATGAACCAGTTCAAATCGATGTCCCAAGATCACTTCAGATTGGTTAATAAGGTCTAGGATTCGTTCACCCCTTCCTTTTCACCTCTAATCCAACTTTGTGAACTGAACACATCCCTCTCCTTACATTATCGCGGCATGCCTCTGATATCGATTTACACACCTATTCAGTACGCACTTTCATTGTGTTTCATGTTTATTCATTTTAATGATAATAGAAATTCGAAGGCTATGTCAAGAATCTAAGCGAACCCCGGTAGTTCTTTCAATCCGGTGTTTGTTTTCGGTACCTGTTTTAACTTTCAAGGTGACTAGACGTGTTTATTCGGAAGTTGGATGGGGCGGTGGCTCTACACTTTGGTAGGGCTTTCGTTCCAAAAGTACAGCCTCTATTATCCCACAACAAAACCTACGTCATAGTCAAGTGTCAAACCGCATCGTGTTTATTTACGTTTGTGAACATTAAACACAGTCAACCGGATAGAAATTTAATAGTAATTTTCGGTTCCTATAGGTCTTATCTGTTTGGGAGCCTGAGCTGATAGTCCTATTTCAGCTATTAGAAAAACTACAGCTTCGATCTTAAGAAGAAATTTCACAGAATAAGCATGTTATCCTGAATGCATCCTTTTTTCAACAATTTTGGTGACGCGACACTTTATTGTGTAACAGTGGGCGTTACGTTACATCACTTCGCTTTATTTGCGGCCTGTATGCTATTTCTTTGGCTTCCATATTTCCAGGGGGCGAGATGGTTCAATGGTTAGAACGCGAATTTAGTTCGAACTCGACCTTTGACTCTCCACTTCTCCTGTCTAGGCTTGGGCATCCTGACAGTATCCCAGCCATTGAGCTTCCTTCTGGTGGCATGGCAGTTAGGCACCGAAGGAATGGTACGGCTGAGCGAGTTCGATACTTCCAGGTCACTCAATTTAGGGTAGAATAACAGATAGGGCTCACAGACAAAGGAATGGAAGAAAAAATGACCATAATACAGCGAAAATCCGCGTTATTAGGTTCTCGTGAGAATGGCTGTGCGGATCTGGATCATAAGCAGGACAAAAATCTTCTTCAGGTATGGAGGTTTGATGGAAGACTTTACAGATGTCTTACCGACATCCGAGCATAGCTTAACCGGAGTTTACAAGCCATCATATCACAATTCATTCGGCGGACATGAAGTTGAATCCTTTTCTCTGGCCTGCTTCCTTTATCTTACCTCGATTATTCCATGTGTGGAACTTCAAACCGAGCTGGCGGTTAAAATCACTCCATTTGAGTTGACTGGAGTGGGCTCTGTTTCTAAGTTGCTCATTCCTTTGAATATTAAGCCATATCCGGTCATTCTCTTGTTTCATTGTTCATATCTGACTTAAAGCTCAGTTGTGTTCGAAACCTTCATCTTTCAAGGTAGTTTACCTTAGCTAATATAACTTGGTTAATTTGTCTGAATAATTCATGAATATGTGGGCTCAGTCGTACTTGGCTGAAATGGTTTAATCTCTGATAACATTCGATTTGCACAAAAAACGATAAGCCGGCGAACTTTATAATTCCAAAGGTGATTTGAACTGTAAACTGGAATCCAACTTTTATAGACAAGCTCCTACAAACATGACACCCACACGTTCACAAAACTCGATTGCAGAAACGTGTTTTGTACATGAATTGTTTTTTATCAAATCAGACCTTGGTCAACACTTTTTTCCCGCTCAAAGTTGCATTGTGGCAGAGTTGCAATGGAATCCGTCCAAATTATCAAGGTGAACAACATCACAAGGTTTTTCATTGCTGTAGCTTGCGTGGAACTGCTAGTGTTCACATATTGTAATCTTTCAAGTGAGCCTAGTGATCGGTTCTCTGTCCTGGAGCTCAGTGTGTTCAGATGCGCTCAATCCGTTCGCCAACGACACATGTAATTATACCTCAAGGGCAGGTGGAGTGAGCCCCCTTCGTAGTCCTTTCTGGAAAAGGTTTAGCTTCTCAGAAAACCCTAACAGAATTCCGAAACCAACACCCAATATGCGATAGTCTTTATCCCCGCAGAAATGTTATCCCCAGGATTGACCCTTCATCGGAGGGTGATAATGAGGGCCATCTTGATCTCGAGATGTGCTTTGATTCTGATCACAACCTGTTTCACGGCGCATGATCCGCGCGATAAAACCTCAGTATCTTTCTCTTGGGCATAGCTTCTCGAAAAAAGGACTCGGTGTACTTTTCCCACCCATCATATAAACTCTTGTATTTAAATTTAGGAAGTAGGGACTCATTCATCCGATAGCTTTTCCATCGTTGTGTCTCAAACGACACTATCCATCCTCGATATTCACCTTTTCCTGAACGTACCGTTGGGAGCACTTTTTGGTGACACTTTGTGCCCACTCATTCTGTTCTCTTTTCTTTCACTTCAGGTTTTTCTAAATGTGATCATCGGAAGTTTGTTCCTAGGCGGTGCTTTGCCTAATTTCCGCTACTTCTTTGCGGCAAAGGCCTCCGCAAAGCGGGTGTTCGAGATAATCGAACGGGTAAGTTCACTTGAGGTTACAAAAGAACGGACTGTTTTGTGACCCGCGTTTCTAACAGCCGCTTGTAGGCTTGCTCCGTGTCCTGTTCCGCTGCCGTATGTGGCATGTGATCTGTAAAACGAACCCATTCAACAATTTGGACACAAGTTATTATGAGTTTGAGACTATAACTTCGTCGGAACCCCTATTCGTATCCCACTCAACCCTAACACAAACCGTGTTATAACCCAGGATCAACGTAAGTTAGCAACATCTTGCCTAAACCTCCGGAAATCAGACTATCAGTTTCTGGCCCTCGGGAATCCGTTTCCATGATCACACGCTCGATGGTTTGCAACGCAAGCTATCTTAGCGTCTTCAAGATTTGTTTCCCAATTAGATTTTTAGTCTGAATTCGACAGAAGAGAGGTGTATCTGAAATCTATCTTCGGCTGTTCTACATTTATTCACCGATGCCTTCGCAGCATATCAGGAGGTTACCGACATCAGCATGACAGCGCTGGAATGATGTATAAGCCAGCACTTCTTAGCAAATCCCAGTCGCTGGAGCTGCAAATACGTTTAATCAAGTTAAGTGGTTGGAAGGTGTACTACGCACACCCAACCGTCGTACACTGAATTGGCGTTGTTTCCCATTAGAAACCTTCGCTAGCGAAAAGTTCGTGACGAGCAGGTCATTGCATTGGAAGGAGAGGTGAAAAAAGCAACATTTCAACAAATTGCTGTGATATGTTGTTCCCATGATTACTGGGGTCCATAAATTCTTGCGCTTGGTGGGAAACTCCGCAAGACATGACCTCTACCACTGACGATCATTTTCTTGCTCCAAGGCACAATCACCAATCTAACGCTGTCCTCTAATTTTGGGTGGATCTTTCGTTATGCAAGTTTCGCACACCATGCGAATTTAATCGCGCTGGTTGCGTTTCTCTTCGATGTATTACATAACCATGTATTTGAACGCTGTTCCGAGATGTGGGTGCTTTTTTCCTAGTCGTTTTCCCCAAAAAGTGACCACTTTTGTCCAATATCGCACCTCTCCTCTTTGTTTTTATCATTTTCTAGAGCATCTTTCTATTGTTTTATGACAATCAGGCGTCAGTATTTGCTGCAGGCGCATTGTTGTCTATCGTCGTTCTGTATTCGCTAGCATACAAGATATCTTTCCTTAGAACTGATAAGCGACCCATGAATAATCCGTGACAACCAACTATAACATGACAACTAACGTTCGGCTCGAGGCGCCTAGGGAGTAAAATTTGCTGGTAGGAACTCCATGAGTTTTAATGTAGGCCGAAGCTCGAACAGTGTCAACAGAAAGAGGATGGGGATAAGCCCAGTTAGTGCAACCATCGTTTATGGAGTTCTAACCTTTCGTCTTGTTAAATGGCTACTCGGACACCGGAACGTGTTTTTTTGATGCAGTTTCGTAGCTCCCAAAGTCTGTGTTCGAGGTAGAAAGACATTGGAGTTGACCTGATCAGTACAAGAAAATTCTATAGAAACCTGGCGCAAATCGTTTGGTGTTTACTCTCCTAGAGTGTCGTCTCCTAGTGGTAGCGGTTCCCTTTGGAGAGGGTTATAGTATTTTTCTTCACTAATTCTAAAGAGTAATGGTGACGTAACTCACTTAGAGCACCCTCCTTATTTTGCAGCCCGGAAAAAAGAAATTCAAAAAAATCAAATCGTTCAGCTGTAACACCCTTTCGGCGCCTAGCTACCATGCCACCCGAAGGGAGCACGGGAGCTGGGATATTGCCAGTTTGCCCAGTCCCAGACAGGGGAAGTCGAGAGGTAGAGGCCGGGTTCGAACCACGGACCTTCCGGTCAGTAAATTCCCGCTCTAACCGCTTAAGCCATCTCGTCCCCCCCCCAAAAAAAAAGAAATTAGTCGATACAGCAGGGCATTATTCAATCAGTTAACCCTTTGCTTGTTTACTCCCGCCTCCTTTGAGCAATTGGATGGATTATTCTCTTTCTCAAAACGCGTTAATCCAACCAGCCTCTGGGGAATGTGTCTTGGTTTGTACAACCGTATTTCTAGCGTATACCATTCTCAGTACAGACGTGAATGATTGCTCCAAACTTGAGATACCACTGAGGTATAAGTCAGTCACAACATCTCACAGATAGTTGCCATTGCTTAATGGCCTGGTCCAAAGCCCGCTAAGCTACTAGTCCAATGATCCCGCTGTTTCCTGATTTCCGCACTCAACACAACAGGCCTTTCTCCTACCACATAACTTGCGCTGTTCTTTCAAGCCTGTTGACCGCTTTTGTCAGGCCGTCAGTTCTTCGCAATTCGAAAACCTGGGGAAATGAGTTTTCGGCGCATCTTTACGAAGGCATTTCAAGTATAACAGAAACATTTCGGTCTTTTGTTGGAAAACATTGAGTTACCGATCCCAATGACGTGTTTGTGTTTGGAATTTTTGATTCGGCCCTCGTTATTCCTCTGGTTGCAAAGTGACCCGTTCGCTTATTCTTGAAATCGATAAATCTGTCGTTCGGAATTCAGATAGTCACTGTTGGTTTCCGCAACCCCTCCCCACTGCTTCCATATTTTCCGTTTCTGTAAAGCGATTGCACAGCGCATAATCACTTTATGTGGTCAAAACAGTATAATGGTAGCTGTCTTGAGAAATTTATTTGCAACCAAATAAAGAGTTTTCCAGGAAATCCAAATCTATGCGCGTAAAGCGAAAACCGGATGTTAGAGTTTGTTCATTTGGGACAAACTTTTTTGTGTGACGAGCTTTTGGTCACTCGGTCAATTGGGATTTGGTGTTACAGCCCCCAATCTATTGAACTCGACCATCTCGGTCGTACATGACTCCAAAATGCACATTTCTGGACACGATGCTTTTCTTTTCAGGATGCTACTGTTGGCTCGCTGAATTATGAGTAATTTTCACTCGTAGTATTTGGATTACTTGTAAAGTTTTGATGCTTAACTACTCTCAACCATATGAAGTATAGGTGCTTTTATTTGTCTCGGTCATCAAGATTCAACCCCGGCCCAGTAAGGTGTGTTTATTTTCTTCTTTTTCAGGTCCCTCCAATTGATAAAAATAAACAAGGCTTAAAACCCGACAACTTTTTTCAATCTTTGAAATTTACCGATGTCACGTTTTCTTACGCGACGCGACCAGATAAAGTGGTGAGTCCTTTTTTTTGCGGAGGCCGTTTTGCAGATTTTCACCGAGTACGTAGTTGATATGATTTTTGCAGGTATATTTAAGAATGTTGGGGACGTTCGGTATTTCGTTTCGCTGACCGATCCCCGATACGTACTACAACAATCGACTAATTGCTGAAAACAACATGATCATCATTATCATAGACAGTACGACGATATCTGTTCAACACTGATGTCTCGCTGATGTACAACCGTAATTTATTTGAGTTCCTTATTGTGAGGTTTGTAAAAATGCAAGGAGTTTGAACCATGCGGCAATCAGTCTTGACGTAAAGGTCTGTTAATCTTGAACACTTGTGACCTACACAGTCGGTCTCTCTAGACTCGCAGTTCATCGTTCAGTGATACTGGTGTACTTTTTCCATATTCTGTCCTCAAAGCAGTGTCCAACTGATTTACTCTTTTGCTTCGAGTGTAATCAGTAGCGACATCATTACAAAAAATGCTTGATACAGCTGCTCGGATGTCATACGAACACGAAAAATGTGCCCTTTAGTTGGTTGGGAGAAGAGTGGATGGGGTAGGTGCATTGGGAAAAAACAGGCTTTCGAAAGATGTCAAGCCTAGGGTCTCTCTCAGCATATCGAAATCGATAGCGCTTTACTTAAACCTTGCTGCGGGTAAGCAGGCCCAAGTGGTTAGAGGGCCAATTTACTGACCGGAAGGTCCGTGGTTCGAATCCGACCTCTGCCTCTAGACTTCCCCTGTCTAGATTTGGGCAACCTGGCAGTATCCCAGCCCTCGCGCAACTTTCGGGTGTCATGGCAGTTAGACATCGAACAGGTGCTACAGCTGAACGATTTTAAACCTTACTGCTGAATGTTCTTGATAATTCCATCCTAGACGCTCGTTTATTTCGTCTTCCTTGCAGGTGCTGGAGAAATTCAATCTCTCGATTGAACACAGTCAAACGGTCGCTTTGGTTGGCCCTAGTGGTTGCGGCAAAAGTACTGTGCTTAATCTCTTGCAACGCTTGTACGACCCGGTGTCTGGGACTGTGAGTTCATCATCACTGTTTTACTGAGACTGATGCTCACTTGGAGCCTATTAGTCCTTGGTTGGATTAATTTGCCCTGTTATTGGACCAAATGTCGTTCGTATCTCACATACTCCACAATGGAAAGATCCAGTGAAAAGTTTTGTGCAAATCGGCTTCGTACCTTTAAATCACCGAACTTGATGTTCTCGTTTGATGGAAATGGAGTTTCGCACAGACACGAAACCTCCAGACCAATTGACTAGGTTACAGGGGTGGTCAAATTTCAACGCAGGCAAAGGACCGGTCAGCAAGATATTTTATTGACAGCACACCTAACCCTTGTAGAGGGTTGAACAGTGTAGATGAATAAGGGCTACACTCATAGACTGGGGAATACTTCACATGGTTTTGCTATCCGGCTCTTCCGGTTGAGAGTTCACGCTTCTGGTGGTCTGTGTGAGTTAGCGCTACGACGAGTGGGTTAACGGCAAAGGTTACGTGAAACTCGCGTTAGTTCAGAATTGCTGTTAATTACTGCTGTTGGATGTTGGTTGCACACCGCCTCGTCTCAAATCGAGTGATCCGCAGACCGATCAGCTCCAACCATTCTACACCCTAGCCGCTGGGCATTCCGCGATTTCCACTACCTTAGTCGCCGCCTCGAAACTCGCGGTTACTAAGTCTGTTTTGTATCTAGTGTCGTCAGCACTGAGTCTTGGTTGGTACTAATATTTATCTTCACTTCATTGTGGTTTGTTTATTCTTGTCTTGTGCCCACCAATTCTGTTGTGTACCTCCCTGTCCGTGTGTCCTTGAGTGCGCCCTTCAACCGTACCGGTACTGGGGCTGACGTTTTTCCTCTAAGGCTCTTTTCTAAGGCTCGTTGTGTTTAGCACCCTTCGAATAACCTTCGATGTTCCTGCCTTATATGTATTGATGACTGTACCAAACCACTCCTTAGTGTGTAAGAACCAGTACCCTTGCCTAAGTCAGACCAACTGGGCAACCAATATGTAGAAGTCTTTTTTCGACCTCAATTTGAGCTGCTTTCCGCACACATCGCTCTGACTCGACCGATGAATGATTCAACTGATGAGTAGTCTAAGACGGTCCCTGTGTTTGTTGATTCCTGCTAAATGGTGGTTTTTAGTTTTTTCACTACTCCTACAATGTCCAGGAAGGGAACCAGATTCACTCTCCATGTTGAACTTTGTACGGGAGTCAAAAGTATTCAGATATTTTTAGAAGCCGTTAACCTTATCAAGTTTGATCATCACAAAGGTGTACTCTAAACTATTTCAAAAACTCTCGGTGGTCATTCACCTCGTTGCAAGACCGTGTAATTGACAGTACCCAGCTGTATTAGTAGAGTAGTCAAGGATGAACCAACCACTGTTCAAGCATATCTTCATGCTCTCAAGTACTTTATCTTCTGATAGCTGAGTTGGTTTTTGCAAGTTTACCTTAGTTCCAAAGCACTACTTTTGAGACACTTGCATATATCGAGTCGATGTGAAAACTGATGACAGTTTTTTTCTGTCCATGAGGAAAATCCTGCCGTGTTGTATGCCAAATATTAGGAGTTCCTAATAAATATGTGGTTTAGGTCTCAAGTGGAAAGCTCAACCCGAAAATCTCGCCAGCTCTTCCCGATAACCCACTTGTTTTAAAGCTAACTCACCAAAGCAGACCTTCAGAACTGTGAGCAACATTCTGGAGGAATGTTCAATTCAGTTGATCTGAGTTGACCCACTCCTTTTCGGTTCTCGATGGTTAGTCCCATAGCCCTAAGTTCAAGCTTTTTCCGAAGAATTCGGGCATTTCCTCTCATGCAATCGATTGTTCTCGAGTGACTGTCTCCTGAGATAGGATTAGTGGGCTTCAGAAATGTCTTGGATACATGCTGGCTGGATGCGGTCTTCGGATGCCCGATCTGAGTAAATGGCTACCCAGCTGCAGTAACAGACTCCGCGAGTCAGGTTTTCAGTGGTCCCTCTGAGGTCTGTTTGGTGATTTCGGCATTGTATCAATGGAGTGGGTGCTCGAACGGCTACACATATTTACCGTCTGATGTTCTTCCATGTTCATTTTGGTGTAGCATTATAGGTGGCATATTTGTACAGCTGTGATCTGTTGCTGATGATATGACTTCAGAATTGATTAAACTACCATTGCAGAAGGTATCTTGCAGCTCTACCCAATTCACGGGAGAGGGTTCTGTATTTTTTCATCACCGTATTTTGAGGCTTAACTTACACCGTTTGTCGTAAATCTCTATTTAGAGATAATTTTTATAGTGTCAGTGGACAGCTTATGCGAATAAGGAAACCAGTGGCAAGTCAGACTCCGTTCGTTGCGTTTCATCCATTTCATACCACATCGTCATTGCGCTCCTTGGCAGCTAACGTGCTCTTATCACCGTCTTTTGGCGTTATCTCACAATGTCATCCACCGTAACTTCTCTGGTGAACAGTAGCCGAGATTCTCCTTTGGTGAGACAGCTAAATATCCATATCAGTTTGTCATTAAGGTTCAAGGGAATGAGAGCCTTTAAAGAATAATGTATTTCGGAACTGTTCCGTGCATTGCACCTAAAGATGCTATATTGCCAACCGTGAAATCCATTGGAGAAGAAGCTGCGACGGGACAAAGCAAGAGTTCAATTGAGCTTGATGGGCCAGCAAGAGATAAACTGAAACTGGCAAGCACGGTCAATTCTCTATCTAATGGGTGGATGTGAAACCAAAAGGCAATCCACAAGCAAGCGGCACAAGCTGCTAGAAATTCGGGCCCCATTAAATGGACGAAGGAGCTTACATCCAACTCAGTTGATTGTGTCCATAATCGTTTGATCGTACTTTTAAATGATGCTTACTATCGCTTGCGCCTAATCTGTTCACCTATTGCAAACTCTGACCGTGTCGCCACAGTTTGGCGGAGAACACTTAAAGACGGATGTTCCTTCTAACAAGTATCCGCAGGTGAATACGCTCATCGTACTTCATGGTCTTCCCGAAGCTTCATTCCTAGCTCTCGTTTGTGTCACGCTATCCCGTTTTTTGTCTGTTTGCCATGATAGATTGAGTTCGACAACTGTGATTTGCGTGACCTCGATTTGCAATGGTATCGGTCGTTAATAAGCGTGGTTCAACAGGAGCCGGTTCTATTCACCGGGACCATCGCAGACAATATTCGCATGGGGAAGCCGAACGCTTCTATGGAGGAAATAATCGAAGCAGCAAAACTTTCCAATGCGCACAAATTTATTGCAAGCTTCCCTGAGGTAAGCACATGTTTCATTGTGAAGTAATCACTTGTCTGATAACTTGAGTTGTAACAGGCTCGCCCTGACCCATCCAACCGTTGCCAGTAGACGTTCTGTTTGAAATGCTTGAATAACCGGAAATATTTACTGGAACAATTGAACCACAATATTTGTGCTGTCCTGTTTCGCAGAATTCAGGAACAAACACTCACCCAGTGATGGATATTTTCTTCGTTTCATCCAGGTCCGCCAACGAGTTTTATGAGCTCGGCGCTCGTGAGTAACAAAAAGCCTTCTGCTGAGCCATTTCTACCTATGTTAGTAAGATTTCATGTCACAGTCTAATTTCATTACAATCCTGCACAATCCTCCCTCATTGATGGCTTGTGTCTTTGACTCTGAATGACAACAGATCATCTTCAGATACTCAGGCCCATTCCATGTCTACCATCGCACCAGTTTTATGGGCATATGTAAAAAATCTACGTCTCTCTTTGTGCTCTATTTATTCAACTATTTGCTTTGCGCTCTGGAAGTTATCATGGCTGCCCAGCGTTAGCCCTGTCGAATTCCCAACATTGTACGTTACACTATTGCTGTTTTGTGATGATACAAACCTTTGTGTGAAACATGGTCTGGGGTTGTCTTCGTTGAAGTGTCTATGTGTTATTTGTATGATACATCTGGCCAAATGTATTTCTAATTCCTTGTTTCCAGGACGTGGATCTGCATTTTCGTATGATATAATAGTCCTCTACCCTGGAGGATCCCCCAAAAAGAAGCACATTCACCAAGAGGCTAAGTCTGAACTTTCTCCTTTCTGTGAAAACGACCTCCTCCCGCGAAAAGGGAACAATTTCTAGATCCCGAAAGGGGTAACATCACAATCGGAATAGCGTATGCTACTGACCTCGGGTTTAGTAGTGAATTATCAGCCAAGCATCTTGTATCAGGGACTCAAACCCCTGCCGCCTCAGTGAACTCTTCTTTGATGGACTTCACTTGATCCAGCCGATAATCCAGCATTCACTATGGTAATGAAGCTGAGGAATATGATTAAACAACACAGTGTATGTAACAACGGTGTTTTCCTCAGCCTAGTTCTCGGTTTGAACCTCCCACACTAGCGTTCCCGTCAAAAATAACCAACAAAAATGTGCAAAGTACATTAACGCCCAGAACTTGTACAGCGCGTTGTATATGAGGCGTACATCGCCACAAAATTCTGGAAATTCTGACGCCTCCTAGTGCATCATTGGCAACCGGTATTCGGCGAATACTGGGTCATGACTGGCTGTTAGGTCCATACTTTCGAGAAATCAGCGCTCGCCTTGATGCCGGACCTCCAGGCTGCCCAAACGTTTGTCGAATCGTGTACGGGATAGGCCTCCCGGCCATAACAGCGCATAACTGCGAACGAGAAAGCGGTATCGGTGTGGAGTTCCGTGTGACAGTATAATCCTATAGTGAGCAATCCATCGATACTCTCCATGGTTTTCGTTGTTGCATAACAGCACATGTTCTAGACAAACCACTTTAAATAAAATAAATAAATCGTTTAACTGTAACACCCTTTCTCTGCCTAGCTGCCACGCCACCAGAAGGAATCGCGAGGGCTGTGGTACTGCCAGGTTGTCTAAGCCAAGACAGGGAACGTCGAGATGTAGAGTTCGGGTTTGATCTACGGACCTTCCGGTCAGTAACCATTGTCCCATCTCGTCCCCCATAAACCACTCTGTTCGGTGTTTGTTTTGTAAATTTAGCCTGATGCGAAATAACGCTAGTGCGCGATTACCTAAGCCATGTAGGCTAATGTCCATTTTACCGTTCAGTTTGCTCCGCCGATATGTGAACATTTGGGTATCTGGAGCACGTAAAATTTTATCACCTCACTGTTTCAGTTCATCGTTCTTATAGGCCACTCCCATGAAGCGATATTTAAGAATGCTCTAGGGTTATTTCCACTTCGTAACATCTGACACCCCTCCAGGAACGACATGGCGCTTTTTCACCTCAAGAAACGCCTTATGGGGTTTTGTAGATACGTTAATGACTTAGTTCCAAATTATTGACATTCCTCGTCGTCTTACATGATCGCTTACCGTCTGAAGTGTTCCATACACCAGCGGGTGATCGCGACATACCGTGGCAGGATTGTCTGAACTATCCTCCATGGAGCTAATTCCGTTCATTTCTTAGAACCTTACTTACCACTCCAAGCCTGTGCTTTCGTATTCCGGCGTTTCGCTCACCAAACCAACTTGAAAATATAAACCTCAATGACACGTCGTTCAGCTCTATATTGCGATTTCATCCTCACTACAACGTTCGCGCATCGATTTGCACCAGCAATATGTCTATCTCCTCTGAATTGTTCCCATCTGAGACATATTTACAGTTTTTCTGACATTGAATACCTGTAACATAGTGTATTGCTTTTGTTCTTAAGATGGAGCTTATGTCGTATCTGTTTCGCGGTCCCCCCCTGGAGCCCATGCTTACTTCTTGGTTTCTCGAATGTTAAGATTCATCCGCAAAAGTAATCGTTACCCTGGTATCTGCTTGTCTTCCGTGTAGATGTTTCCGGGATCACACAGACTTCGCTCAACTCTCGCCATAGATTTAGCACTGTGGAGGAATTTGCACTGTATGTTGTTCATTTCAAGATTAATAGCAGTATTAGTAGAAAAATACTTTTTAGTTTTTGATCTGAAAGCCTTGCCCCGGCTAGGTTGATTGAATTAAAAAAGTTTCGAACAGTTCAGAAGTTGTACACTATTCGCTGCATTCCGACTGTGTATTGACTATCCACAGGCGACCACTGTCATCATCCATGACCGGTGTTTCTCGAATACAGCAATGTTCAGCGCTTCCGGGTCCGTTTCTCTTCTTCACATCGTTCCTTATTTAAACGGGTTCTTTGTTCTCACTGCGATCACTCTTCTTGCACATAACTTCATGTGGTACTCCAATGCTGAAATCCTCATGACGGAACTAGCACGATGGTTAATTGTCCGCCTCGGGCCAAGATATTTCATTCCGGTCCAGATATTCCTTGCAGTGAGATAGCTCAGTGGTTTAGGCGCGAACTTACCAGCTGGTACGGGTCCGTGGTTCTAACCCAACCCGGTCACCTCGTCCGTTCCAGTTTAGGTTTGAGAAGCTTGGAAGTATCTCCGCTTTCATGCGTATTCTGAGTGATATGGGGGCCGAGTAGGAATATTTGTAGTCTATAAATCCCAGCTTTGCATCATTAGCGAGCTTTTCTGCCAATTCTGGGGTGGGACTATTTGTAGCTTGCCCTTCTTCGAGTTCATTCAAAAAGATATCCTGCGCTTGACTGATTCCCGTTCCCTGACTGTCAGCCTGTTCCCCTTATTTTCATAAGGGAACTACTCACAAGGTTGCTGAAAACGAGAGATTCAGTTGAGTCTCTCTTGAAAACCAAATTGATTTGCAAATTAGTGTATTTCTCAAGGATTAACCCTACTTCACCGTTAATACCGCAGATGCTCTTCGTAGCTCACTTCTTCTGTCTCCTTGCTTGTGTCCTTTAATCGGACAACTCGTCTTTATTCATCCCTCAACCTACAGCAACCTACCCAACTCTTCTTTTGTCTCCCTTCAAACGTGTGTCGTCTCTCGAGACCTTTGCTGCCTTTTGTCCTCATTTACTTGTATTACAGTAAGCCATTTTTTGAAGCGGAGTTACCGTCCATCCTACTCCACTTTGAGTTTTGTACTACTCCGTGCGTGTCGCTGATTGTTTTTTTGCAAAGGATCTCTGACCATGGGTTCTTCCTCCCCTTGTTTTATGGTAAAACATAGATGAAAATGGTTCCACGCTTAGTGTGCATCACAATCGTCCTCGAATGTGGGTGTTTTACCCGATCGTCTACGGTTTCATAAATATCAGAATTCTTGACGGTCAGCTGCCATCTGCATGATTTTTATTTTCATTTTGTTTACCCCGAACTTTTTTCCCGGAGCAATAGAATTTGAGAGCGTCAGTTTGAGATCCTATTTATTGTTCTGGCCTGGTACCTAGTACTCGTGTGTGTGTGTGTGTGACGGTCTGTTATGCGACTTTTTTTTGCAAATCACATCTCCAGTTGCTTGTTCGGTTTTTATCGCTTTCGAACTGCAATAACACCGAATTTCAGCAGTTGCACTGAGGCGGAACGACACCTGTGTCTGTGCCTTTTGAACGTTAAACGCCATAGCTCTCGTGTCAGATCAGACTCATATTTGGGTGTTTTCGCGACTTCATGGAGTCTGACCATGAAAGTGGCTACTTTAACTTTTGATTACTCTCCTATTCACTCCTGCTCACCCGGGATCTGGTCATACCGGATTCTACATTCATTATGCGATAAAGCTTTCATGCGTTTGTTTATCTTCTCCCGTTGCCATTTGCGTTTGTCCTCAGGGCTATGAGACCAAAATCACACAAGGAAGCACCGCCCTATCTGTGGGCCAGAAACAGCGATTAGCTATCGCTCGGGCTCTAGTGAGAAATCCTCGCATCCTCATTCTGGATGAGGCAACCTCTGCGTTGGACGGTCAGTCAGAACAACAGGTTCAAGCTGCTCTGGATCAGGCCTGCGTTGGGCGCACTGTATTCATTGTAGCTCACAGGCTGTCCACAGTGCGTAAGGCGGATTTGGTGGTTGTCATCGAAAACGGACGAATTTCAGAATCTGGTACGCATGAAGTATTGAGTGGTGCGAATGGTCTATACTCCGCTATGCTCAAAGCTCAGGTCAGTATTTCAGTTTATAAACCGTTGTTGTCATTGCTGCCATGTATTTTTCCACCACTGCTTCTGTTAATCGTCTGTCAGCACTTAAAAATACCTACTTATTGTTCATTTATTTGGGATTGATGTGAAGCCAGGAAGTGTGGCCCAAGGCTTCTGTTTCGTGACGATATCCTCACGGGACACTGCACACTCTTGGAATTCATTGTAGAAAGGCATTTTTCATAGCTTTGTTTTCCTCTTTTGAGTTTATTTTTTACTGAATGATAAACACACCTCGGGAGCAACAGATTCATATCAGATAAGCACGCTTACCACTTCTAGGTTTCACGGGCTGGTTATAACTGTGTTTTAGCCCACCATAATTACTCATTTAGTATATCCCATACTCATGTGAGTAGGTTGCTGTTGACTGTGAGCAGATCGAGACTCTGCTGAGTGGCCACAATTCGAGTTGTGGAAGGAATTGTCGAAGGTAAGGGGTTAGTGGTTACGGAAACCCTGCTTCACAGCCCATCAGTGTTGTGCACGGTGCCGACAATGCACATTGTCCTTCAGAGACCGATAATCACAACCGAAGTATTTCCCGGTTTCCGATATGCAAGATGTACAAGTCTGATTTGAGGCTTCAGAAAGTCAGGAATAGCTATAAGCAATTATCTTGCTTTTGGAGCAAAAGCATTGGTGAAGGTAACTTGAAAACTGGAGGTAAGTGAAGTCACAGTTACCAGAAATTTAGGTTTCTGGCGGGAATAATTTATACGGGGTGATTGAAGGTAAGAGTTAATGAATTGAGTAAACTTACTGTTAAAACCACGTATGTGGCCATGTGAAATGCATGGGGTGGGCGAATATTTCGTTAGTTTTGTATGCTTATGTTTGAATAGTAGGCGAGCGAACCGGTGACCCAGAGACTTGGATCGGTACCACATAGGACTATTGGTTGAATATATATATACCTCCGGCAGCATATTGCAGTGCCGCCCATTTTGAGGCCTCAACTGTTGCTCCGTTGCGCTGAGTGTTCGAATGCTTCTCGCACTGCTTACGGTTTACTCCACAACTGCATTCCGGTTTATGTTGTTTACCGTTCTTCATTGTAGCGACAAGTGTCCAACGAATACGACACCTCTCTTCATTTGCAAGGAGATAAGACAGAAGAGTATAGCTGTTCTCCTCTTGATTCCGCTGACGTAAAGGCCACATCGCCCCTGACGGATGTCGTTGTGACGTCCTATGTTGTAAGTTTAATCGATGCCCCCGAATTCTCACGTTACTTAATATGTTCCTAAGTTCGCAAAAAGCTTACCATATCTTTTAGCTGACCTTGGACACTATTCATCTTACTGTCTTCGGTCGTTTAACTTATCCATTGGTGACTCGGCTTAGTTGGCCACATTGATTGTTATTAGTCGGAAGTACCCTTGAGTTAGTCCAGTGCAGCGTTGAACTTCTGGAATCAACGTAATTACGTACTCGGCAAGTGCACGTGGTAGTAAAACGCCTTCCGCTTGGTAACTCTAGCACCCACATGAGTGCCTCAGGATTGCGAGTACGGCGCTTGATCTATCCCACTCATCTTGTTTGCTTGCCTTATCGCATTTTCGGAAAACCGCTTTCTTGGCGAAAACTATGATTAAGTCACCTTGAAGTCCATTGTTGGCACCAGGATACCGGAGTTTTAAAAAAAGGCGTCTTGAAAAAGGTATGTACTGGTCGTTAATCAACACCAGCAGTTTTCAGCTGAAAAGTGGTACCTAAATTAGTTGATAATTTTGGTAGCAAACCCTTACATTCCTTACAAGGATTGCATCTTTGGGTACAGCATCACTAGCTTATCGCCTGCGTTATCAAAGCTTTCAAACAGCGGAATGTATCAGTCATGGATACTATCGCCCCACTGGATCTCCCTGAAGAGCTTCGTATCCCAGTATGTTGAATCATATCCTAGCCGTCTAACCAGTAACTTCCAATGGTTTCCTATAGGGCTCCATCGCTTTTAGGAAATCATTTTGAGGCCGAAGACCAGCATAGGACTCACCAAAAACACTACTGTAAACTGAGGAAATCTTCCGAAATTGGGGAAAAAGCGGAGCGTAGGAATGGTGGTTGATGACATATCAGGCCATCGACAACGTCACCGAAAAAGTCGATCGGGATCAAGTTTCCATATGTCCGATGAACTATAGGGAGCGGTCGTTCGGCTGTTACATCGTCATCGACAGCATGACATCGGTTTTAAACACCGATGCTTCACTGCTGTACTGTTATATCAACCGCATATTGCTGCTAATATTGCTTGTGGTCAGTCTAGTCAATGGCGATCAGACGACTTGCTGACAGATAGCTATGTCGGAATGGAAGCGACTTGTTATGTGGCGGGTGCGTGGATTTCGGATGTAATTACACAGTCCTTACTGTTATGCAATTTGGTATTTTCAGGATTTAGACCTCGATTTGGTTCTGCATTCCCGACCTATTTTTGATCGGCTCCCGTTATCGGACACTGACAACGAATACCTGGATAAGTATAATGCCATGTACTACATATGGGGGCATGTTTCTCATCAATGAGCAACGTAGACAAATATCGTATGAGATGCAGTTTCATAACGTTGTTGGTGATTTGCCTGAACTGAGTAACTTTCCCATGCATGTTTCAATTCTGCAGTTGTCGTTTTGTGATGTGTATCAACTTTTTCCTTCCTGATTTATGTTTTTTTTAGCCAGACAAGCAAACGGACAACCTTAGTCCAGTGGCTCTGAAAGTTGTACCTCCAGGTTCCAGTCGTCGCACTCATAGTGTAAGCAGTTCGTTGCTTATACATATCACGGTGTTGTACCTACATCTTTGCTTGTTTGTCGAGTGTTTTAATGAGTTCAAATAAACAAACCGAGAATAATTTCTCTCAAATGAGACAGGAAGTGATTTCCAGACGTTATTTGTAAGCCATTTCTTCAACGATTTATTTATTACTAGATTAGCTGTCTGAGCGAGATGAGGCGAGATGGCTCAAGTGATTAGAGTGCGAATTTACTGACCGGAGGGTCTCTGGTTCGAACCCGACCTCTGCCTCTCGACTTCCTCTGTCTAGGGTTGGGCAACCTGACAGTATCCCAGCCGTCGTGCTCTCTTCGGGTGGCATGGCGTCCAGGCATCGAAAGGGTGTTATAGCTGAATGGTTATTATTTTAACTGTCTGAGCTTTATCCTATTGAATCAGGTTACAAACCTACTTTTATTTCTTCAACCGAAATTATTATGCTTCTAAGCTTCTTGGCACAGGTTCTGCGCACCAGAAATTTATGTATTTCGCGTCCATCAAGAGTCATACCACTTCGATAAGCTTGTCGTTGAAGTTGAGTCATTTTGGACTTGTTAACTATCTTGTCTATCTAGTCAGACGATGCTGCTGGAAGCCTGCTGGTCAAATTGGTAATCTCTTAAGCACAACTGGGTCATTGGGCTACATCGACACTACAACACAGATTGATCAGTTACTGTCGGAAGTTCCGACTTCTTACTATGACTTCTGTCAGCCTGATTCTATGCACTTTGATTCATGATACTTGCAATTGCGATTCTCTAGGGAATATTTTGCTTTGAACAAAGCCAATTCATTATGGTTAGTTGCTTGTTGAAGTGGGTCGTACACAGAAATCTATCGATCGGGCTTCTCTTCGCATTTGGGAACAAACTGAGTGGCCGAAAAAATCGACTCTCGCACAAGATAATGCTTCTATGCTAAGGTTGATATCTTAGTTGCTAGTTACTTTCATCGCTGGTTACGAATCTTGTTAGTACGGGCAGCCGTTCTTTTACTGCTGTTTTGTGTGTATATAGTTTGCAACTCTGTGTCTTGGCGGAGCTGTTTCAGTGTTGTTCGAATAAATACCTGTCACAATTCTTTCAGTCAAGTGCATGGATGCGCGTGTTACGACTGAATCAACCTGAAACGGGGTTCCTCATTTTTGGTGCGTTGTCCGCTGCCCTCACCGGTGCCCTTCAACCTATCTTTGCTGTCCTCTATTCTGAAATATACGCAGTAAGTTTCTAGGGGAACTGGCTTATATGGACACCACCCATAATAAATTTGTTAATGCAGTACATACTTTCTGTTATTACCTCTAGAAGCGCCTTGCAAATTCGTTACAAAAGTAGGGGTTGTAACTGTAATTGACTCGACGCGTCTCTTTCATCTCAGGGTTTCGACACCATGTTTTTTTGGTGCTGAGTACTACAATATACGAATCGCTCCCGTTCTAGATGTTTCCGTTGTCCAAATTCTCGGTCCTCCACCAGCTGGAGAAGGAAGCCCCTTGTTCGGCTACGATAAGCTTAAATGATTCTATCTGATTCTAGTCCTTACTCAATGTCTTACAGTTCGAAGTCGTGATATAATTTGTCACGACAGACGTGTTCGTGTTTATCCGGTGGTATCATTAGTGTATTTTCCAGTGAATCATTCCCACAGTCACTCAATCTCCTTGTTTTCTGTTGTTCACTCTTATTATCAGCGTTGGCTTTCAGTTTTTCCCACTGGAGATAGTGTCATCAAACGCTTACCTTATATTTTGTTTGGAGCGGGTCTCTGCTATTCGTGCAGTGATAAAGTTAGCTTTATTGCGTTTGTTGCCATGTCGTGTTCTAGAAAATAGTTTGCCGGCAAGGTCTTTATGGTATAGGTTTCATTATCCACTTGGCAAGTGTGGGGACGAATCTGTGCCCAATGCGATGACGTTGCTCCTCCACAATTGGAGGATACTCATAGTCGTCCTCGTTGATTGCAACATCAGATGAGAACACTGGTGCTTCACTGCCGTACAACTATGCCGGTTCATTTATTGAAGCCTTATACTTGACAGAAGAAAGAAACGGGACAGGAAGGAGAACCTAAGACTAGCCTAAAACAAACATCCGAAGTAGCTTCACCCTTGGCACTGAATCAGACAGTCTGAGTAGAAACTGATAGCATGAATGCCGCTGGCGTCAGTCAGCTGCCAAGCACAGATGGCGTCTAGTAGACCCTAACCCGCGAGGCGAGTAGCGCCCAAACTTTTCGTAACATTTTTCATTCCCTTGTGCCTTGTCAAATGGGAGATAAACGTAAATATTGAACCACACATGTTGATTCACAGACAAGCATTCGGTTGGGGAAGGACACGAGTTCGAATGGAGCGGCGTTTGCATATTGGCTCAAGCAAGAAAGAAGAAGGTGAATTTGTGGAAGCGTGGTACTCCACTGAAATAGCTATCAACAAACATTGAAATCGATCCCATTTACCAACCATTAATGGCATGGAACGCCAGAACCACAGAGTTTTGAGCTGTAAAAGTAACCAGACAAGGAACTCATAAGAAAAGGACGAAACCTCCGTTCAAACGGACACATCAATGTGATTGGAGGAGGTGCTCAACTAATAAACCAAAGCACCAAATTGACCGGCGGATGAAGGGACACTAACCGTTACGATGGAAAAAGTAGGGCGGTATAACCGACCACTCAAGTTTAAGAAGGTCAGACCACGACGCAACGCCAATCAAGTCCAGGGAACGAACTACTAAAAATAGAGAGCGTTGGGATAACCAGTAAACAAAGGAACGCAGACCACAACCCAACAAACATAACAAACGGACCAATGGGTTCACGAAAATCGTTACCCCCAACGTGGTCAGTCACGCAAGAAAATAGCGTAGTCTTCAAGTGCTATATAAACGCACACAGGCAAATAAAAAGTACCCACCCGACTGCGCACTGACGATAATCCTTCTATGGTGACGAAACGTGTGCAGGCCAATAGCCAAGCTCGGCGAACTGATCAACAACCATTAAACTCACCCGAGCTACCCATATTTCAGTATATGGTTCAGATATATGCGAAACAGCAGCCGGAAGCGGCCACTTCAAACTGGGTGAGATGTATCTTAAGGATTTGTAGTCAGGTTTTATTTGCTGATAGTATGTTGAAGGGATGTGACAGTAACGGTTCTTATGTGAGTTCTTGACGCGTCCGAATCCGTCCGCTATAACCGTAGTGCCTCATATCTTTTTCGATTTTCCGTGTTTCTGTGCTTTGAATAGTGGTATCTTGATTCGAATCTAATACTGAACGTTTTGTACTCAATTTTCCATATATTTTCAGGTGTTTACGATGACTGATAACCCTACAGAAATGAACAGTCGTGTGAATTACGTTGCTGGTATTATGACACTTTTGGGTTTTCTCCGTATGGCGAGTTCAACTTTTCAAGTGAGTGAAAGATGGTACGGCTCGGCAGGCTACTGATCCCACTGGAAGGTACTGATTCGACTCTTAATTAAGCAAAAACCAACTCAGTTGCAACATGATTCGTAAACATTGGAGTTTTTGCCGTGAGTATCGAGGGTAGACCTTGCGGCCTCATTGTCAGAGAGAGCTGACTGATGGGTCATTCAAGTCGTTTCTTATTCATTCACACCATTCCCGTTTTCATTTGAGTGGTTGATGCCCCTAGTTTGGTCTGGGTGGGTATATCACAATGGTTTCAACTTACGACATAGTTTGTTCACTAGATTATTGCTAACATGAAGCTCCGTCATTTTTTGAGTTTTGGCGTCATCAGCACAGACTGCATGGGTCATCTCCTATCAATGTGTTCCTGTTTTATCTTATCTTTCTGCCGTTTCCAAATGATGTACCCGCATTGATTGGTCCGCTTCCCCTTCTTTTGTTTCCCAACCCAAACCAGGCATATTGCTTTGGTGTTGCTGGACAGCGCTTGACGCGAAGACTGAGAAAAATGCTATTTCATGCCATATTACAACAGGTGAGTGTGTGACTGAGCTTATCAGGAGACATGTTGTTTAGGTAATTTGACGAGTAAAGCTTACTTTCCCTGTACTTTATCCCCCACCGTGGTAATTCAAACAATACTAAGTAATCTAAATAATTCCGCCTCACGGTTTGGCATACGCTTCACACCTGCAAAGTGTAAAGGGCTACTGCAAGACTAGCCTCATGCTTGCAGACGAACCGATTGAGATAGTAGATAAATTTGTTTACTTGAGTAGCTGCATCAGTCCCGCTGATCTCGCGAAAAATTATATTTCCACCCGGATTGGGAAGGCCAGAGCAGCTTTTGTGAATCTGCTTCACCTGTGGCATAGGCGTGACATCAGCTTATCCGTCAAGGGTCGAGTTTACAGTGCTGCGGTGCGCTTCATACTACTATACGGATCAGAACCCGGCCGTTACGCGCTGACGTCAAAAGACTTTCGGTGTTTGACCATCGATGTCTTCGGAGTATTGCCCGAATCTGGTGGGAACACCAGGTCAGCAGTGCTGAAGTACGTTTAATGGTACTCGGAAGAAATAACTCACCCTCGATAGATGAATTGATCACACTGCATCGGGGTTACGCTGGCTTGGCCACGTGCTGCGTATGCCGGTCGACCGCCTTTCCCGAAGGGCTCTTTTCGTACAACCACGTGAAGGGTGAAAACGAGCTAGAGGGCGTCAAACGACGACCAAGTATCTTGGTAGAAACACTCATCAACATCTGCTTATTCCTATGAAGGTGTATGCACGAGGGGTCAGTCAACGCGTGCGACCAAATGATATGGATTCCATGTTTGAACGATGGATGGCAATATATTCTAAGTGTGAGCTTATCACACTGGTCAGCAACCGCTCTCGGTTGATTGTTGAAACTACCGTCCACCGGTATCGCAAATGGGTGTTGCGTTTTTTTTTGCCATCTACGCGCACAAATGTGACAAAATCATCGCTGTCGTTGTTTGGCGCCTTCTCAAAGGCACCAATATCTGAACAAAAATCTCTACAGGTGAGACATGACAATTAAGTTCAATTTATCAGCTATGAGACGTGTGCTATAGGCACATTGGTGCGACAGGATTGTAGACAGGTAACCTTAAAATTGAAATGCTCGCTAAAAATAACTAATTAAGCTCAGTTCAAGCGAATTTTAACAAAAGTGAGGTGGACTGTTGACCCTCTTTCGAGCATATGTGCACAGAACTGCTTCATTTTAACACGAAAATCATCTTTCCAAACACTAAGGTTTTGCGGAACATTGCATTTGTCGGATAAAGAGCGGTGAAACAATTAGACATGTTTGGGAAACTATATATATCTGAAACGGCCAGATGTGTGGAAGTATGTCCTAGTGAGGAACAACACAATGGTGTGGTGTATGGGGAGACGAGGGATTGCGAACGGCTGATATTCAGTCATTGTGGAAGGCATACCACTGATTAATAAGCTCCTGAGTTGGGGGCCTTGAGTAATTAATTTTTACCATCACTGGGTCTGGGATTAGAACCAAGCATTTGTAACGGACTCTCCATTGAGGTGCACCAGAGATAGAGCATCTTAAAGTTTATCCGTGTATCATTCTAACTCCGCTTTTCAACCTTACAGGAGACGGCTTGGTTTGATGATCCAGATCAGCAAGTCGGCACATTAACGGTGAAACTGGCGTCGGAAACTAACAAAATACATCCGGTGTGTGGTTCTGCAATGGGACGCATTATCGAGTCTGTGGTCCTCGTCGCCTTCTCACTGACAGTCGGGTTTTGTTACAACTGGAAGCTTACATTGATTGTTGTCATCTTTTTCCCGGTCATTATGCTTTCCAGTTTTCTTCAGGTAAGTTCAAATAGTGTCTTTGCTCTGGTCTGTCGATTTGGTAATTTTGTTCTTTGTTGTCCTGCCTCTAGCGCTCCCAGGCTAATCACCACTCGTTACAGAGTATTATGATCACTCACCTTATGGAATTCCGGTATTCTGTAGGTAGGGTGACCGCGCTTATGGCACCGTTGAGGAATAAGTGAGGGAATTCTACACGATCGAGCAGATCGACAGTAGTGTAGGTCCGCAGGCATTCACAAAGTCGCATACGTTCAGTAGCCAGTGACACTAACCACCAATCTGTGCAATAAGGTGATGGATTGTTGGTAGTGTGCGATTTGGGATTTTTGTGGAGATTTCGTCCTGTAAGTGAAGCCAATCTATGCTGAAAAGTCGAGAAGATTGGCTTCACTTACAGAACGAAATCTCCACAAAAATTCCAAATCTCCTCACACTACCAACAATCTGTAAGTAGCTCAGTGGAAGAAT